ACTGCACCTGGCTTTGTCCGAAATCCTTTGACTACCGGTATTCTGCTGCGATCAAGATCAGGTTTGAGGCACTGTCCATGGTAAGCGGTGCGAAGGAAGTTAATTAGCACGTCCAGTTTGGCAGAGGCCATTTACTGGCTGTCTTCAATTCTGTTGTTAATGGTCAAGTCTGACCGCTTCGCGTGTCAGCCTGCTAACGTTTTGGTTTTGTTCAAAGTTTCTGCTCTTTAACTGGTGTCTTTGAAGAACGAAGAAACAGATGACTCATAGGAATAATCATGAAGAGAACCTTGCCACCATGGTTTTCTTGTTATTTACGGGATTGCTCCGCATAGAGATCATCAGAGCAGATGCGAAAACGCTGTTAACACAACACCGTGTTGTCAAAAGGAGTGAGAGAGGTTGGCATCGCCACGGCACAATTCGTGCCGTGAAGAACCTTAGATGTAATGGAGGATCGAGGACAAATCTCTGTTTATCCGGTCCAACGGATGTGTGAACCCCCTGAGCAGGGACGACGACCTGGACCTGAGTAGTGTCTGGCTAATAAGGCGCCGTGAGCGTTGATGCCTGCTCGATCCCTTAAAGACCCAAATATGACCTCAACGCCTTAACTTTTATCAGATCTGCATGTATCATTTTACCTTGACAACTGTGCTTATAATGTTGACAATAAACTGTATATTTTGTGCGAAACCGGTAGAAACATGGAGTCCGCGGGCTTATAAACTGCATAAAAGGCGAGTGCCCAGTTTTTCAAGAGAAGCACGCTAAAACGTGTGCAACTGTGGAATGTAACACGGAGGTCTGTGTGGAACTAACAAATTGATGTTGTAAGATACACTTGAGCACAAGGTACGTTAGACGAAAACTGTGTTGCAGTGGGCCTTTTCAAATGTCACTGCACTGCTCAGCTACGTTGCAGTTTCGGAAAGTGCGCACTGAAGTTTCAACAGTGGACTTTCTGCTAGCTTGTTTCCAGCGGAATGTTAGCGTACATTAAGTTGATGAGTGGACTCGCACTCTGCAGTGCTATCATGTATACTGTGAAAGTGATTACTACGTTTGCCGTTACCCGTGTCGATATCATATGTCGACGCCGATTCGGGTGCTGGCGGCTCCGTGGGCATTAAATGCCTACGCAAACGGAACCGTTAGTAGCTTCTTTCAGTGTGTAAAATTGCCTCACCCCAAGCGCGTGATGGACGATCGACAGCATCGGTACACGACGAATTGAATATGTAAGTGATTATTAAATTCCGCACACGCTGTTACTCCTAAGTTGCTGATGTTCTGTGCTCCGGCTGCTGAATCGTCATGCTTTGTCGAAGTTGTTACAGAGAGAGTTAAATTAGTTCGCGGTTATGAGTGTTTCACGTCATGCATATTCGCTAACGTGTTTGGTAAGTAGATCGTTGGATGAACGATAGTGAAACGTGTTGGGTATGTGATTCTTGTAGTTTTTTCCATACCTCAACATCCTCACGAAACTAAATGCCACGACGATACCGAAAACATGTTTTACGCTTGAAATAAACCGGCGACCGCGCAGGCATTAGTTAGTGAACGTCTCAGATCGCAAGGAGAAAGATCAGAGTCTTCAGTTAAAGACGAGCGCTTCAGTTGCTCGCCATGATACTTGATTCCGACTAACCGACGACAATAAGAGAAACTGATCGAATGGTCAGTTTTTAATTGTCGCATTGAACGATGGTGAAGGCAAAAAGTTGTAAAACGTCAAGAAATGTCGGCTTTCCTTTGTCTGACTACGTTTCAATTTCATTCCTACGACAAACAGTGGCGTCGATGGTCCAAACTCCCTCCTCAGGACGGACGGATAGATTGTTATGCACATCGTCGCAGTTCGGAGGCATCTTACGTCTTTCCAAAAATTCTGTTAGTCCTTGTCACTTACGGATCACTCACTACCTCAATCTGCCCCCTGTCTACCTGGTTTCTTGAATCGTAATGAGACTATACGACATCGTTTGGGGTAACCGTTTTTTGTACGTCTCTTGTACACGAAACAAATATTCAGTTAAAATTGAAGATGCAGTGGTTCAGTGATTTGCCATGTGACGTGGAGGTGTCGAACTGAAACCGCAGTAGCGGCGTAAGATGTTTATTATTTACTGCTAATTCGCTTGAACAACAAATTTTTTGCAACCTGCTGATAAACGGGTACCAGTTTGTCTA